CGGGTACCAAACGGATCCATTCTTCACAGGAGGAAATTCGCAGCAGTTCGCAGCAGCAAAGGGAGTCTATTACGTAAAAACCGGGACTGACCGCATTTGGGTGCCTGGGTATACACTGCTACGGGAATTACTGTTACAGGAGGCACACGACGGAGTTACCTCGGGGCATTTCGGAGTAGAAAAAACACAGCAGCAGCTGCAGCGGTATTATTACTGGCCCGAAATGTTGACCGACGTACAACGACACGTGGCATCGTGTCCCACTTGTCAGCTCATGAAATCATCACGACAGCGGCCGGCGGGACAGTTGCAGCCGATACCACCCCCAGAGCGTGCTTGGCAGCAGGTGACGATGGACTTCGTCACGGGGTTACCAGCCGGGGCGAGTGGGAACGACGCGTTCCTGGTCGTCGTCGATCGACTGACGAAAATGGCACATTTCGCAGCCTGCAAAAAATCAATCACAGCCGAAGAAACAGCACGCCTCTTCATCTCCACCGTCGTTCGACTGCACGGGATACCAGCCACGATCATCAGCGACCGCGACACAAAATTCACCAGCAACTTCTGGCGGAACCTGTGGCAGCAGTTCGGCACGCGACTGCAGTTCAGTTCATCATACCACCCCGAAACCGACGGACAGACAGAACGGACAAATCAGACCATGGAACAGCTCATCAGGACCACGTGTGACGACCCGACCACGTGGGAACAGCAACTACCACTAATCGAATTCGCGTACAACAACTCGCCATCCGCCACGACCCAACAGTCACCATTTTACCTAAACTACGGACAAGACCCGACAGTACCCATGACACCGAATCATGACAACCCAGTACCACGAGCACAACAGTTCGCCGAAATATTACAAGCAGCACGGACCCGGGCAGTAGACGCAATAAAAAAATCGAACATCATCGCTAAACGCAACGTCGACCGCCACCGCAGACCTGTCACTTACCAGCCCGACGACTTAGTTTTACTTGACACTCAGAACCTCCGACTGCCCATCACCCCGAAACTCCGCCCCCGATACTGCGGGCCATTTCGCATAAGCCACATGCTTACACCCGTCACCGCCCACCTCCTCCTCCCTGCTGATTGGTACGTCAGCCCGTCATTCCACGTCAGCCTACTTCGCCCTTACGTCCCGTCCACGAGCCAACTGCTACGCAATCGCCCAGCCAGCATGACAAGACCGCCAACTGAACCAATCATCACCCCCGAGAAAATCCTGAGTCACATAGTTCGCGACCCTCGAGGAGCCCGAAGGATCGAGTTCTTACTCCGCTGGAAGGACCGTACACCCACCGAAGACAATTGGGTTCCCCTGGACAGAATCGAAAACCACCCCGTCCTCACCGAGTATCTGCGCAGCCGAAATTTCAGGGATGTACACGCACTTTCGTAAGGAGGACCTCCTTAGGGGGGGGGGGGGTAGTGTAAGGAAAATTCCTTTTCCTTACTTCGCATCCCTGCTCAACGCGTACATCACTGTAGCACCACAGTCAGCACCGTTACCACTCGCAACCCTCGCATCGACAATCCGCCCGCCACCTTCGCACCCCGACCTCACGGCTCGGCGGGTAACCCGCGCTCCGGGCCTCCGCTTCGACACTTTTTCCCAACCTCAGTCCCAGGCCCGTCGCGCGACAACCACAGTCCATTACCGTTACCACTGTAGTTCGCTCGCTCATGCCTTCGCTCATTGTACTCTTGCTTCGATAGTGCAATTCTCGTTCGGTCACTCAATTGCACTCGCACAAGGCTGCAACTGTTTGCGGGTTCAGGCCCTGGTCTGGCTCTTCCGGGTCAGGACCACCTGGCTCATCTGTCGTGTTGTGGAACAACGCTAGAGATCCCGTCTTGTCCCGAAGCTTCATGAAACAAGGTCTCTGTCTAGTTTTGGTGGTGAAGAGAAAGTTTTATCGTCTCGTCACGTGGTTGGGCAGTGGTAGGGGTTCGAATACACGTCACTGAGATCTGTAGTCAGGATACGGGCGGGAGATCAGGACAAAGGTCGTTGTAGAGAATCGAGCACTGCCTCTTTCCCTAAACTGTACTGTACACGCTTCCACAGTCCACTTTGTTTTGGATGTGACGGGAGTCTCCCTAGCACACTTGGCCTGTGATGTGCAGATTCGTTGGGCAGATGGAAAATTCACAAGCTTGTGTGTAGATAGTGCACACCTTTTTTGTACACCGTGTGCACTCGTGACCATTCGGTGTTTTCGGATAAGTTTGGGAACCACCTCCGAGTGCCGACTTTCAGGAGCCGATACATCGGGTAAATATAAATGGCAGGATACTGCAGCTCTTCTCCTGCCCCATTGGGATGTCTTGGCTTGGCTCATGTAGCGATCCCAAGCCAACCAGGCCACCAAACGAGATCCCTTACCCCCAACAGATTCGATTCACTGCCGTTTTGATGTTTATACAAACTTGCCCGTCGCAGTTCCTCATAACCCAATTTTCCCCGAAAAAGCGTCGTTACACGTTCTTTCGTCCCGAGAAATGCAATAGAAAAGATGAAACTCCATTGTTTTGAACCATCTGGGCATCCAGCTGAATCGAAATTCAGGACCATTCTCAGCCAAAATCAGGGGGTGTTACATTGCGCGCTGGTCCATTTACAGGAAATGGACCAGATTAGACAAGGGAGCACCAGTTTACAGGGATCACTTGCGAAAGTGGTCCCTGCCTGGTACCCGCGTGCTCCCGGGCACCATTTGCAGCCGACCCCAACAGCACAGTGTTTTACAGTTTCGCAAAAGCAAGGTGGACGAAAACAAAGTCGCACCTAGTCACACGCGAACTACATTTCGCGACGGCCCGAATCGCGAAATTTTCAGCTTGTGCTAGCGAAGAGGGGCGACGTGGAGTTTTCGCGAGTGTCTGGGCCGCGAAATTGGGGTCGACTGTTGGAAGTGGTCCCCCAAATCCTGCTCGTGCACCGACCACTGTACATGCTGGTCCGTGGGGGGCTACCTGGGTCACTACCTGGGCCGTTTGCTGGTCCAAACAGCTAGTCCACGCTGGTCCGCGCAAATCCCCCTGGGCCGCAGCGGCCCAGCGCGGCCCAGAGTAGTTCTGCCGCACATGTAACATCCCCTCAGTTCACATCAACAGAAAACTTCTTGCGGGATATTTGTGAGACAGCCAATCAATGTCCACGCCATGCTGGACCTGGTTTGCTTTTTTTCAGCTGTGTAGCCCCTCAATTCTGAAAGGAGGTTCACAAATCAACCCTAATAGCGGAGGGTGGAGGTAGGGTAGGGGGAGGTGTGGGGGAGGAGGGGGGGGTTTTGTGGAGAGAGTTGGGTGGAGGGTGAGCGACGATTGATACACCCCCATTTGGATGAATCTTGAGTCCCTTCTCCCACCAAGCCCGCAGCCCCGTTCCACCAATCACGTGTCCCTTAGCCTCCCAGGCCTCAGCCCATACAACTGGGACTTCGGTGAAGGCGGGCACCTCAATTACTAGGGACCCACAGCACAACTACACTTGACTCCACCACGACTTCTCCTGCTGCATCCTCCCCTTCTCAAACTTCTTCAAGCCCATGTGATAGGAATGACTGCTTGGAAGCGTTCACCTCAGGTCTTCCTACCAGAGCTTTACCTCATAGTCTAGGAGTGTCCATCTCAGTTACTCCTCGATTGCGGAAGCTGTTCTCCGATTTCGGGAAAATTTGCATTTAGATCGAATCGCACCCAGCTTCTCATGGCTGACGGAGTAACGTTTCCCTTCTTGCGGCAAGTCGGCTCACTTTGGACCTCAGAGGTAACTCATCTTTCTCTTCCCACCTCTCTCTCTCTCTCTCTCTCTCTCTCTCTCTCTCTCTCTCTCTCTCTCTCTCTCTCTCTCTCTCTCTCTCTCTGTCTGTCTCTCTGTCTCTCTCATTACGGAGTCTGTTCATCTACACCCTTACTATCCTCTCCATCCACACCTTCCCACTACCTGGACCCTCTCTTCTTAGTACACGCGCCTCCCCCCACCGTCCCCTACCTTTCCCCCGCCCTCTCTCTTCCTACCCTCCTCTCTCTCTCTCTCTCTTCCATAATCTCCACCTTTTCTGAATCTCTTTCCTCCGCCTTCGTTTCTTGTGTCCTGTTCGCGGCGCAGGAGGATCTGGTGCTCTTGCGACACGTGGCAGTGCACGGGACCAAGTATTGGGGCTTTCTTCAAGCGTCGGGGACGCTGCCGCATCGGGACCAGAAGGCGTGTTGCAACCGCTTCATTCTGCTAAAGAAGTGCGACACATTCTATCTGCCTTAACTCCCACCCTAACGCCCACCCTCACCCCCTCCTCCCTGTCCAAGTATCACCATCCGTCCGACCTTTTCCTGCACTCTTTCCGCTTCCGTCAGCGTTTCTTGTGTCCCGATTTGATTACCTCTTCGTGAACGTTGAAACAGTGTAGAGCCTTCGGTCCTCACCTCCGCTCGGTTTTCTGTCCCGGATGTGTGTTTGTCAAGTCCAGTCGTGCCCGAGCCGCGCTCGCCCATGCGTTCTGACTCGCGTCGCCTTCGCTGTGTGCAGGCGTCACTTTCTAGAGAGGGGCAAGAGAGGTCAGAACAAGGCACTTTCGTCTCGGGATGACCGCGCCATTGCCTCGTCGGTCTTACAACTTCCGCGCGACTCGCTGTCCTCCCTCGCAAACGACTCCCAATCTGCGCGATCTTCGCGAGACCCGTCGCGAAATTTGTCGCACACGGCGGCTACCACGGTGACTCCTTCAGCGATAGGGTCTGCGACGACGACGGCGACGGCGACGGCGACGGCGGGAGGCGCTGCGAATCGAGAGTCACAGGCGAGCGCGTGCAGGACGGATTCGGCGGCGCGGAGCAGCCAGCGACTGATGACGTGGGCCGCCACGGCGGGGCGGAAACTCCAAGGCGAGCTCAAGCGCTGCCGCGACGAGAGCGCAGCCGCTGCCTCCGCTGCCGCCGCCGCCTCCGCCGCCGCCGCTAGCAGTGCAGGCGCTCGGACGCAGATGATGGCCGACGAATGCGTGAATCCCGCCGCGCAACGTTTTCTTCCAGGGGGACACGTCGAGGCGAATTGCGGCGGCCAGCTCGATTCCCCGCGGATCCGGAGGTAACTACACTCTCAGCCATGTCACGACGATCAGATTTCTTCATCTGTTTGTTTGTTTTTTTTTCTTCTTCTTCTCTTTTCTTGCTTTATTAGTCTTCGTCCTCCTCGTCATGGTCGTCCTCGCCAGCTCGACTTGCTCTCCTCGCTCACCACTCTACCCACCTCTCGTGTACCCTCGACCCCTCTCCACCTCCTTCGTCCTCGCAGTGTCAAACCGCGCGTCGATGCCGCAAGCAACGTGCAAGCCTTCCCCGCATCCCTTCCTAGCGCCGCTGCCGCCGCCGCCGCCGTCGCTGCGAGCGCGGACCTAGACCTCGCCGTTCGCCTATTCCCATCAATTCGGGCGTTCTTGGGTGCGGGTTCGCGGCCCGTTCTTGGCGGGCCGGAAGGTACCGCCGATACGGTGGCTGCAGCGTCGTCGTCGTCGGTGGCGGCGGCGGCAGCCGCGGCGGCAGCTGCGTCAATCGCGTCCGCCCCCGTGGCGTTTGCGGCTGGCTCTCCCTCCGCGTTCTTTGCGGATGCGCGCGAAGCGCGCGTCCCGTCCTCGCCGTCCACTTGTCCTCCGCAAGCAGCTGCCGCGGATGCGACCGCGTCGGTTTCCCTGAGCGCATTCGCGCAGGCGCAGCGCCCGCCCGCTCATCTCGCAGCATCTCCCTTCCCCGCCTCCTCCGCCATCCTCCGCCACCTCCTTAGTTCCCCCGCACAATCCTCCGCGGCGCTCTCATCCTCCTCCCCCAGTCGCGCAACCCCCGCTGCCTCCGCGTTCGCGGCCGCCGCGGCGAGCCACAGACCGGGATTCGCGGTGCCTGTCGCGTCGCCGTGCGCGTCGTCAGCGTCGCCGTCGCTTGCGCCGTCGATAGCGCCGACGTCCTTCTCGCTGTCGCACTCGGTGGCGTCCGCGGGATTAACAGGCCCGACGCGCAGTGGCGCGCAGGGGAAGAAGTGGGGGGGGTATTCCGCGAGCGGGGAGGTGGACAGGGACGAGGCGTGCATGGCGCAGTGTGTGCCGGGGGAGCGCGCGTCTGGGTGGCACATGCAGGAGCAAGTAGTGCCAAGGAGCACTCTCTCTCGCTCCAGACTCGCGCACTCGCCTATGGATCGCAATGCTGCTGATGCTTTCGCTGCTGCGGCCGTCACCAACAACACTGCTGCTGCCACTGCTGCTGCTCCTGGTGGTGGTGCTGCTGCGAGTAGTGCTGCTGCTCCTTGTCCTAGAGCTGCTGCCCTGGCGTCTGTCCTGAGGTCTCGGCTGCCCGGTTGCTCGCCAGTGCCGTTCGCACCAACACATGCTTATTCGGCAGCATCAGCATCTGCTGCTCTAGCCGGTGGTGCTCGCTTCGCTGCTGCACCTTCCGCAATCCCTGCTCCTGCTGGTGCTGCCGGTTCTGCCGGTTCTGCCGGTGCTGCCGGCGGTGGCAGCGTTGGTGGTGGTGGTGGTGCTTCTGCTGCACCTGGCGCCATGGCGTCAGCGCGGACAAAGCAAAATGAGCACAATCCAACGCGCATGCTCCCGCCAACCAAGCCAGTTGCAAGTGCCAAGGTGGGCGAGGCAGGGCGTGGAGGCGGGGCGCTGGCAAGAGAGAAGCAAGGAGGAAGGGGTGTTTGGGTGGATGTATGGAGGCGGGGGCGGGCCAGAGCACCTGCAGGCTCTGCTGGGATCCATGGCAAGGAGAGTGAACGAAGAGCATGGGCAAGGGGTGGAAGCGAAAGATGAGTCCCTAGCGGGAATCATTTTGCCTGATCCGGGACTGGCTGCACATGATACGGACGGTTCTGGAGGCGGAGATGGTGGAGCAGCAGCGAAATATGGAGCTGCTGCTGCAGCTGCATCGGTGGGAGCAGGGACGAACGTTGCCGTGTCGGGGGAAGGGCAGGGGGATTCTGATGTGCTTCTTGATGCGATGTTGGATGGGCTCTGCGACCTTCTGGTTCCTGACTGGCAACCGTCTGCCTCTGCTGCTCTCCCTCCTCCCGTTTCTGGTTCCTCAGATGCTGCTGCTGCTGATACCCCTGCCGCCGCACCTGCGGAGACTGCAGCGGCTGTGGGGTCGTGTGAGGTGCAGGCAGATCATGAGCAGCTGCAGATTGTGGCAGCGCTGTTTGAGCAGCACCAGCAAGGGCAGGAGCCGCAGGAGGAGGTGCCGTCAGTGGCATGGGAGCATGGGTCCCAGATGCTTCAGAAGGAGCGTGATTGGATGCTGAGTGCAGATGCATTTAAGCACATGCTGATGGATCATTCGGATCCGTATCTGTTGATGCAATCCCCACCTCCATCCGTGTCAGCCCTCTTGACAGTCCCAGAAAGACCCAGCCTTGCCTCTCGGAGGGTGCTTCGGTTCCTCCCAGGCACTGTTGACCATAGCTGTGTTGTTCCCAGGTCGCTTCCTTCCACCGCCTCAAATGCAGAGGTTGGGAAGGTGGTGGGTGGAGATTTCTTTGGAAAGGATTTCTACGCCCGGCCTGATATGGTTCTTGAGAGCATGGCGGCTGCTCGCACTCATCATTTGTGAATGGGAACTGACAGCTCAAAGCCAAGATTCTTATAGTGAGGTTAATGTCATGTGTCACATTGGTTGAGTAGGCAAGGTTTCTAGTGTGTGGATTGCGTTTTTGCTTGTTTTTGGTGTTCAGTATAATAAATTGCCCAAAGGTTGGTTCTACATTGATTGTGGGAATTTGACTGAGGCTGGTCCATTATTGTAAACTGTCCAAACGTTGGTCATGAATATGGGAAAAGGTTTCTCTCAGCATACAGGTTCGACGTAGCAAGAGCCCACTTATATCAGTCCGTCATGTTACCCGTTTCGCTTTGTTTTGACGAAATTCGCGACAGCTTGTTCGCTGACCCTGTTTCGCGACAGCTCGTTCGCTGATCCTGTTTCTGCTTACTGCAGCGTCTCTCCACCCTGTCAAACCCCCTCCCTCTCCTTCTCTCGCCTCTCTTTCTCCACCTCCTCATCTTGCCTCTTCCGTGTGCCTAACGCGGCACTCCTCCAGCAGTCCCTTAATCTCCTCGAATCGCCACCCGAGCACCATGGTACGATGTGTTTGGGGCGTCTCGTTTGTCGCTGCGATGCTTATTTCGTGCCATCGCGTCGCTGGTTTGCGGGTATAAACCGTTTTAGTCGAGCGCACAGGATGCGAGTGGGATCGTCTAGGGTTTATGAGCTGCAGGCATACGTAGATCGTCATTGTCCTTCCACGTACGCTGAGTCTGTAATACTGGCGGTTACGTATTCTTCTTTAGGTGTTATCAGGCATTAATAAGCCTCACCACGACGATCAATTACTTCAAGCTGGTCAGAGTCGAGACGTCAGGTTGCTTGTCGCAGGATTTCTAGAGCGATTTTTCTTCGGTGGTCCTCTCACTCCCAAGGCTCCAGTCGCTCGTCATTGCTCGAGAGCGGACTTGACCCCTTCCAATCGCACAGCGCCATTGACATGATCCTCCACGCGATCCTCTTCCACCTCCTCACCGGATTTTTTCCCCTTTCCTCCCTTTGATGGTGTTGGAGATGGTTGCGATTGTTGCGATTGTTGCGATTGTGGTGACGGTGGTGATGATGGTGGTGGCGATTGTTGTGGTGGCAGACTGTGAAGCGAAGGAACGGAGGTCGCAACAAGCACGGGCGCGGGCATGTGAAGCCCATCCGCTGCTCCAACTGCGCCAAGTGCTGCCCCAAGGCATGCGCCTCACCCTCTCCACACTCGCCCTCCTCCCACCAATCCCGGTCTCTCTCCGTTACTCATGGCCAGACCCCCTTCACTTCCCCGCCCTCCTCCCTCTCCACCACTACCCCCTGATTTCTTGTTTTCATTCCGTCGTCGCTCGCTGAAGTAGAGACAGCGCGGGGAGCGATTCAAATTTGCGTGGATGTCCCTGTGCTGTTGTCACAGTCACTAACCCTCCTCCCGTCGTGCGTTTGCTGCTGTGATGTTGACCTCTTGTCGTGGCGTATGATGTGCATGCGCGATCCCGCGCGCGTGGGTGTGTGTATGTCTGTGTGCTTGTGTGGGTGTGTGCATGCGAGCAGGACAAGGCGGTGAAGCGGTTTTTAGTGAGGAACATTGTGGAGCAGGCAGCAGTCAGGGACGTGCAGGAGGCATGCGTCTATGATGGTCAGTGCGCTCCGCCTTGCCCCTTCCGCCTCCGCACCCCGGCTCCGCACCCCGGTTCCGCACACCTCGTTCCGCCGTCCGACTTTCGCTCATCGCACTCCGCACGCCTCACCCGATGCCCCATGTCATCGCCATGCCTGTGGATGCACTTCTTACAATCTTCGCGCCTCTTTTCGTGGCTCCCGTTCCCCTAAATCCGTCCCTCCCTCTTCCCCTCTTTTCCACATCCTTGTGTTGGCCCCCCCTGCTCTTCCCCCTCCCTTCTGTCTCTATTCAATTCACAGCCCGCACATTTCCCTTCCTTGTCCTTTCATCATCGTCATCCGTCAACAGCAACACCTACTCCTCGTTTATCACCTCTCCTTCCCTCTCTCTCCCGCCTCCTTTCTTCTCTTACGGTCCTTATCATTGAATAGATTGGTCCCTTTCTTCCCCCCTTTTCTCTCTCGCCCTCTTTCTCTCCCTCCCCCCCTCCCTCCCTCCCTCCCTTTCGTCATTTGCCAACCTCCAAACCCCCCCCCCCCCCCCCCCCCCTCCCCTCCCCCCACTCCGCGCGTCCCCCTTGTGTGTGCGCAGGATACGCGCTGCCGAAGCTGTACGCCAAGGTGCAGTACTGCATCTCGTGCGCCATCCACTCGCACGTCGTCAGGGTGCGCTCGCGCCAGGCTAGGCGCATCCGCGAGCCGCCCAAGAGGCCCGGGCGCAAGGTGAGGGGTTTGTGCAGGGCTGGGCCGGGGAGGGGGTGAAAGGAGGGGGAGAAGGGGATGGGTGCGCGGACTTTCTTCGCTTCAGCTGCAGCAGCTTCACGTTTCTGTTGTTTTAAACCCTCATCCTCCCTCACAAAATATTTCGGATTGTATTTCCGTCCTGCCTCTCCTGTCTGCTTCCCAAGCCACTTGCAAAGCCATTCCGCGCCTCCTTTCATTCTTCCCTTGACCCCTTCCCCTCCCCTCTTCCCACCCGTGTCTTCCGCTGTCTGTCAACAGATGGACGACCGTGGCAAGCCTGGTGCCCCTGGCGCGCCTGGTGCTCGCCCGGGTGCCCCCGGTGCCCCTGGTGCTGCTGCAGCTGCGCCCAGAACCTGAACAGAATGACCTGGAAAGACTCTCTAGATGAAAGAGGATGCATGTCTGTCTGTTGCTGGAAGCCTTGCTGTAGTCCTTGTTGCACAGGCTGGGCTGATTATTGATTCACTTGGATGAAGCTCCGTCTAGTTCAGTGAATGAAGAGAAGTCGACTGTAGGTGATCAGTGGAAATGGTAGAAGTGAGGAACCGGCAAAAGTAGTGCAGTGTAGGGAGAAATAAAAAATCAGAATCAAGTGCACCTGCATACACATTTGCTCTTTTGAAAACCGGGGAGCTAGGGTATTTCCTCTCGCAGTGTTCGAGTGTAGTCGCTTGGCGTTAGATAATACTGAATATCCGGCCTTGCATGGCTAGAATCCGCGCATCCCACCGTTGATCTTCTTCGCCCTGTGTCAGTGAAGTTCACGATCAGGAGTCGTGATTCGTGTCAACTTCTAGGCAGGCTTTTCGCCAAGCGCCGATAATCATGCTGCGTTCGACGTGCGATATCTAGCATACAATTCGAAGCCAGCTTACGGAGATCCCGTCTCCGCCGCCTGCGGTGTCCTTGCGCATCCTCCCGCTTGTTCCCCCACTCCCCGTACTTGCTGTTTCCCGCCGCTGCCTTATCGCGGAGGAACCAGCATGGCGCAAGGCGCGACGCTCGCGCGCGTGGCTTTTGCTCCCGCTGCGCAATCGCCGCTGCCGGCGCCGGCGGGGCTTCCGTCAGCTGCAGCTCCGTACTCCGATCTTCACGCCGCAGTCTCCGCCGTGTTTGGCGGGCCGTCGCCAATCCCATTATCTGCTGCCGCCGATGGCGCGTCGCCGTCGCCGTCGCCGTCGCTTCCGTACAGGCTCGTCGCGAGTGACAGTAACCAGGGGTTGCTGTACTGCTGGCGGCCCGGCGGCGAGGCGCTGACTGTCGTGGGATGCGGTACGCGCGCAGCGAGCGGCGCTTACGCGGATGCGGACTCAACGGAGGATCCGGCCGCGGGCGCGTGTGACGTGAGTGCGATGCGCTGGTGGCGGCGCCGCGCGTATGATGGCTTGTTGGGGTGTGCGGGATGGAAAGCTGTGTGGTTTGCTGTGCGGTTTGCTGCGTGGTTTAGCAGCCCAGTGAAACAGCGAGGCTGGGACCTAATCACCAAGGTTGACCTAATTGTTCCTCGTCCTTTCTCTAGACCTAACAGCGTACACACCAATTCCCACACCCCACCTTTCTCATCTCCTCCCCCTTGCTACCTTCCGCCTTCTCCCATTCCCCGTTTCCCCTTTTTCCCCGCCATCCTCCCTTCCCCCTCCCGTTCCCCGGTCCCCCCCCCTCCTCTCCCCCATTCCTCGCCCCTAGTCCATCCGCATGCCGCTCTCCCCAGCCCCGTCCGCGCCGGTGCGGCAGCTGCTGCTCTCCCCCTCTGGGCGCTCCCTCGCGCTGCTCTCGCCCTCCGCCCTCGCCGTTGCGGACGTCTCCTCTGCCGCGGCGCGCCTGCGCACACACGCGGGCAAGCCGGCGCTGGGGGGAGAGATGCGCGCGGAGGATGCTGATGCTGTTCCGTGGTGGGTGGTGGGTGGTGGTGCTGGGTGGGGGATGGTGGTGATGGGCGGTGGGTGATGGGATGGTGAGTTGTTGTGCTGGGTGCTGGGTGATGGGTGATGGTGAGTTATACGATTGGGCATTGATAATGGATTGTAACTCTCTTAATATCCCACTTCTTAATCATCTGTCTCCTTAACCACTATCCCCTCCCGTCCCCACACCTCCCCTCACCTCACCTTGCTCCTTCCCACCCATTGGTTCTGTTCATTAATCTCCTCCTTTTGCCCCCTTTCTCCCTCCCTCGCGTCACCCCGTGTCTCTGCCTCTCTCTTTCCCTTTCCCTTTCATATCGCTTCCGTCCGCCTGCCCGCCTGCCCGCCCGTCTGTGCCTCCGCGGGGCATGCATGGCAGTGTGCGAGTGGCAGACTTTCAGGGGGAGGCGGTGCACGTGGTGCAGGCGGCATGGCACCCCCTCAGTGACGCGCACATCGCCCTCCTCACCTCCGACAACGTCTTCAGGTGCCCCCCTCCTCCCCTCCCGCCCTCCTCCCCTCCCGCCCTCCTCCCCTCGCCCCTCCTCCACTCGCCCCTCCTCCACACCTCCCTCCCTCCACCCCTTCTCGCTCCACCCCCTCTTTGACTCTCACCGTTCCTACCTCCCTCACTTCACCCCTTCCTTTTTTACGTCCTGCCTTTGTGTACCATGCCATGCTATGCCATGCTATGCCATGCCATGTTATGCCATGCCATGCCATGCCATGCCGTGTACCATGCCCACTCGTCTCATATCCTCATGCACCCTCCATTCCTACCCCCGTCTGCTCAATCAACTACCTGCCGTGCTGCGCCGCCCTGCCAGGCTGTACGACATCTCAGCAGCCGCCCACTCTGCAGCCACCGCCCCACAGCAGCGCGCAGCAGCCACGGCAGCAGTGGAGCAGGAGTACGTGCTGCAGCCCGCCACGTCAGCTGCCACGTCAGCTGGTGCAGCAGCAGGTGGAGGGAGTGCAGGGGCGGGGTCGCCCGGTGCGTGCGTGGGGTTTGCCTTTGGTGGCGACCACATCTGGGAGCGCTTCTCTGTGAGTCACGCACCTGCTTCCATGCCCTGCTGCTGCGTGCTGTGATGCTGGGATGCTGGGATGATGATGGGATGGTGGGCTAACGGGATTGTGGGTTGCTGGGATGCTGGGGTGTTAGGATTATCTGAGGGTGACTCAGTGGCATGTGGGTGGGTGGGGCAGCAGTGGAATATACTCCCGTCCCACTTGATGTTCTTGAATAGCTCGACCTCGCTCCCACCCACCCCTCTGGCCTCCTTTTTTTCCTTGGCCCCTCAAGTACCTTCGCTTGTGCTATCATGCAATCATTCTGCTCTCTCTCTCTTTCGCCCTGCACTTCAACTCCAATGCAACATCCCCAAGACATCCCCCAAATACATTTCCCACGAATGCATCCCCACCCCACCCAGTACATTCCTCCCAATCCAAACCGCTCAAGCCCCCCCCCCCACCCTCCCCTCCCCTCACCCCCCAATACATTCCCCCGAATGCCACGTCCTAAATGCATCCCTCTTCCATGCACACCCCCATGCCGCCTGCCCCCAACCATGCCCATCCCCGCCATGCACCCCCGCCATGCACCCCCGCCATGCACCCCCGCCATGCACCCCCGCCATGCACCCCCGCCATGCACCCCCGCCATGCTCTCCTCCCCCAGGTCTTCTTCTGTTTTCAGAATGGCTCCATATACGCGCTCTGCCCTCTGCTGCCCTTCAACTCGTATGCTCCCCATTTCCTCCCCTGTCCTCGCGTGCGGTCCTTTCTTTTGTCCCTTGTACTTTCAAATATATATAATTGTAAATATATACACACATGCACATATGGAGAGACCTCTCCCTTATGCACGTCTTTTCTGCACCACAGCAATTGTCAACGAGCTTTTTCCCCCCTCCACTCTGCATCCTCACAACGACTCTTTCACCTCCCCTCACCTTAATCTTCCGCCCCTCACCTCCCAACCTTCCTCCCTCCATTGCCCATTCCCTCCCTTCTCCCTACCCCCCACCCCCTATCCTCCACACCCTTCCCACCAGGTGGGTGTCTGCAAAAGCCATTGCAGAGCTAAGGGCCGACGCCGATTGCTGCTCCCTCTCCGCATCTGCACGCACACACGCGCTCCTCGCCTCCTCCTGGCTCTCCCACTCCTTCCCACAACCCCGAACCCCCCCGCACCGAGCACACTTACAACACTCCTCCCCTTCCCCGGATGCCGCCGCTGGCTCTCGGCTGATGCTTCTTGGGTCGGGGCAGGAGAGGGAGCAGGCGGGGGAGGCTGGGGGAGCCGGGCTGGTGAAATCCGCTCGCTATGCCATTGGGAGCTCATCACTCGTGCTGCAGGTGGGTGGGGTGTGTTGTGTTTGACTCCGCGTTGCTGTGCTGTGCTGTGCTGTGCTGTGCTGTGTTCTGCTCTTCTTCCAGCTATTCCTTCCCCGTCCACCCCCACCCTGCAACCCCCATCCTTCACTCCCACCCCTGACTCCTGTTTCCCTGCTCCTTCCTCCCCTCCCCTCCCCTCCACTCTCTTTATCATCCCCCCTCCGCCCACCCACCAGGGCCCCTTTCCCACCATAACCGGAGACGACCCATCCCTCTCCTCCCCCTCCTCCTCGCCCCTCCACCCCTCCTCCTCCTCTTCTCTCCCTCCATCCCCCCAATCGCTGCCCTGCTGCATGGCGCTAACAGTGGTGGGGCAGGACAGTGTGCTGCTGGTGGGGGAGAGGGGCGGCGCAGTGCGAGTGCTGGTCATGGCGGACGAGGTGCATCCCATGTGGGACACTGCCCGCGCGCCCTCTCTTGTCTTCTCTTCCCGTCACGCCACGCTGCAATCGGTTGCCATGACTGCTCGCTCACAACTGCTGCCTGTGCCGTCCCCAGGTGCTGCTGCTGCTGGTGGTGCTGCTGGTGGTGCTGCTGGTGGTGCTGCTGGTGGTGCTGCTGGTGGTGCTGCTGGTGGTGCTGCTGGTGGTGCTAGTGGTGCCGATAGTGCAGGGGAGGGAGGGACAGACGGTGCTGTGGTGTGGGCTGGCCGTCCCCCCCCACTGCTGCTCTTCGGCCGAGTCGACCTCTCACTGCCCTCTACCTCCTCCCCTCTCCCTACTTCATCCAAGTCACCACCGCCACCATTGTCCAAATCACAGCCGTCCAAGTCACAATCACAGTCACAGTCACAGTCACAGTCACGCCTGTCAGCAGCAGCAGCAGCAGCAGCAGCAGCAGCAGCAGCGAGTGCATCGGTAGCATCCCCTTCGCCGCTGCATCATCTCCCGCGCATAGACCTGCATGTGGATGCGCGCGTGCCTGACTTTGTGCTGTGTGCGCACGCATGGGGCGTGGATGCAGTGCTGCTGCGCTGGCTGCCCTTCTCAGATCACCACGACGCCCTCTCCGCCTGCCACAAGGCCCTCCCTTCAGTAGAAGTCTACAGCATCTCCTCCTCCTCTTCCTCTTCCACCTCTTCCTCGTCTTTGTCGTCCTCTTCCCGCCTCTCCTCTTCGCGCCCCTCCTCTTCTCTTCCCCCGTCTTCCGCCTCTTCTCCTCCTGCTCCTCCTTCTGCCACAGCTGCTGCCGGGGTCCCCTGTATCGGCCTAGCAGTGCTATCCCGCAGCAGTAGGGGCCTCTCAGGAGCAGCAGAGAGGGGCGGGGGTGGGGAGGAACGGGTGGTGGTGACAGTAGACGCACGAGGGGGGTGTGCTGTGCTGAGAGTGCGGCGGCCGGGTATAGCGCTGGTGGAAGGGGTAGAGGGAGCGGGAGAGGAGGAGGAGGAAGGCGAGGGGAGGAGTGTGGAGGAAGAGGAGGAGATGGCAGGGCGGGGAGTGAGTGAGAGGGTGCTACGAGGTCCCACCTCTTCTGCCTCGCAGGTGAGGAGTGGGTGGAAGTGAGGGGTGCGGGCGGGTCTTTTGTCCATTCGAGAGCTGGAAGGACAGAGGTGACTTTTGAGTCGACTTAAAAGTCACCTTGTGTCCATGCGGGAACTGCAAGAACAGCTGGAAGTGAGGAAGGAAATGTGCTCAGACAATGAGGGTGAGGGTGAGGGTGAGGGATGGTATGAGGGTGTGGAAGGGGAAGGGGGGGAAAAGGGGGAAGGAGGGAGACAGTTGTGTATGTGCGCACGCGTGTGCCACCGCTTTTGTGTTCCTTTCTTTGTTTCTTTCTTTCTTTCTTTCTTTCATTGCCACTGTCTTATATGCTTCCTTTCTCCCCTCTCTGTCCCCTCTGTCCTCTCTGTCCCCTCGTTCCATTTGTGTTGTCCTTGACCACTGCTTGCTCTGCCTCATTTTCAATCAATGCGCATGCCGGCTTCATGGATGTGCATGGACGGACATGGGTTCACACACTTGTGTAAATGCGCATGTGCCGCATGTCACATGCATGTGGGTGGCATGGCATGGCATGGGCATGGGCATGGCATGGGCATGGCATGGCATGGGCATGGGCATGGCATGGCATGGCATGGGCATGGCATGGGGCACATGCAGGTGCTACAGCAGGTGCCAGCAGCGGTGCGCAAGGCAGCGGCATCATCAATGGAGGGCAAGGCCATGCTGCACTCCTGTGCCAAGGCGCTGCATGCCTCTCACGTCGCCTACGCTCATGCCGTATGTGCCCCAGTGCCACCATGTGCTTCGAGTTTTGAGTCGACTCAAAAATCGATGTGCCCCAGTGCCACCATGTGCTTGTGCGCCTTCACTCTTCACAAATCCCCGTTAACTCCGCCCCCCCACACCCATATCGCTCGGGTCTCCGCCCGTTCTCTCCAAACTCCTAAACTCATTCTTTCCTCCCCTCCTTCTCTCCCCCCCACCTCCCCCACAGGCATACGTGGAGGTGCGGGCGCACGAGCAGTGGGTGCAGCTGCAGGTGTTTGAATTGACTCAAGATTGCCCCCATTCTTTTCTCCCCTCCCCCCGTCCCTCCCCTCCTGGGCAGGCATACGTGGAGGTGCGGGCGCACGAGCAGTGGGCGCAGCAGCAGGTGGAGCAGCAGCAGGCGCGGGCAGAGCGGCTGCAGCGAATAGCGCAGGTGGAGGGGGACGTGTGTGCGGGGCTAGCAGCGCGCGTGCAGGAGCGCCTGCGCGTGAACCAGCGCCTCATGCACCGCGTTGAGAAGGCCCGCGCCCGGGCTTGTTGGGGCCGGCACACGCTCTCTCTGGCTGAGCGGCAGCTCAAGGGGGAACTTGGTGAGTTGTGGGGGAGTTGGAGCGGAGGGGAGTTGGCCCCACGCACGTGCACACACCTGCCTGTCTCACTCACCTGCCTGGCCCCATGTAGCGCCCCCTTATTGTCCTTCCTGCTCATCCATATGCACCCATGCACCCCATGCACCCATGCACTCATCACCCCATACACCCATACACCCATGCACCCATCACCCCATCCACCCTTCCCTCCATCTCCCCCACCGAACCATCCCCATATTCTTGTGCACCACAGATGCATTACAGCATCACGAGCTGCCACTGCTGCTGGACTCTGCCGCTCACCTGCAGTCGCGCTGGGAGCACATAGCTGATGCGGACAGCACCAGCACCACCACCACCAGCAGCACGAGCAGCGACAAGCAAAGCCCTGCGAAACCCGATCCATACAGCATTGGCCGCGAACCCTCTGACGGAGCCACTGCTGCTGGCGCTGCTGCAACTAGCGCTGCTGCAACTGGCGCTGCTTCTGGCTCTGGTACTGCTGCTGCTGCTGCTGCTGCTGCTGCTGCTGCTGCTGTGTCTGTACAGAAGCGAGGGCTGGACGGGCATCAGGCAGTGCGGGTGCGGCGGGCGCTGGGGCAGCTGAGTGACACGGTGCAGCAGCTGGCGGACATGGTGCGGGAGGTGGATGCGGAGCTGCTTAGACTAGACATGCAAGGGCTGCACTGCAACGGTGGTGCCGTGTGATGTGAGTGGTGCTGTGCGGTTGGTTCTGGTGCGGAGCTGATTTGTGATGTGAGGCTGCATGCAGTGCGGTTTTATGCGTTACACAGTGGCATGTGATAGTACGGTAGTCAAGATGCAATGAGGACATGTGGGACTCTCTGCAATGCTATTGCCTGCACGCTGGAGAGGTGAGAAGCAGGCCTTGCAAACGGGTCCTAATTGGAAATAAGTCAAAACACACAGGGTATCTGCTTGCCTGACCACAGGTGCAGTAGCAGATGCTTCATGCTACATAGGAGTTTCTGGTCATCCATCATCCTAGCAGTGATTGCATTGATATTATGCACAAATTTTGTATTATCCTCCTGCTTAGGGTCTGAGTCATTTCTCACTGTTGAAAAAACCTTCCATGAAATTTATACTGATTGTGAGGGCTGCAGTGCCTGGCAAGACTAATCCATTAACATGCCTCAGCCAATGTTGGGGCCTGCTTGTTGTGCAGATGAATTACTCTCCTGAGGTGCCACACATCCAAGGCAAAATATCATTTTTGTTTGTTATTGGTTTCCGCTTGCGCCACAATCAGTGTTGGCTCAAAATCCACGACTTTTCCGGACCAACAAAGCTGGCACACAGCACGAGGAGGACCGATGACGAAGCTGGAGCCAACTCACGGACGACCTGTCCGTCGTCGTATACGACAACGGACGCTCTCCAGGCTGCCCCATTCGATTCGACTCGGAGCGCGATCTCAACAACTCCCCCATCTCCCACCCACTCCACCCATCCCTCATTTGCTTCTCCTTCATCCCCTTGAAATGGAATGATTTCCTTCTCCCATGACCTGCCGAACAGATCGGCGGCACGCCAGGGCTTTGTGGGGGAATATTTGGAGGCGGGGGGGAAAGGGGAGGGGAGAGGGAGGGGGATATGTTAGGGGGATGAAAGAAGCGGCTCTTGACCCCGAGCCCGCAGCACCCCCAACTTTCAGCCTTCCCCGCCAAGGTGGCGGCGCAGCCCCCACACATCCCTCCACACCCTTCGCTCAACTTGAGTTTCATTTGGCGCGTTCCACTGGGAGTTCAATCTGCTCTGCATCGAACTCGGAACCGAAACACAACCACGTGTTTTAATATAGTACAACGAACGATACTCTTGTTTGGTCCCTCTTTCTGGTCCTCTGCCCTCATCCTGTGTCCCGTTCCGTGTAGCGAGACCTGCTCCAGGTCAATTCTGCTCTATTCTGTGGCCCAGAAGTTTCCCTAACTGACTAGCGTTTTGTTAAAACCAGCGTTTGCAAACAGAACTAGGCCATTTTGCTGTGTCAACCTGGAAGACATGACGCGATGTGGCAAGCAGAATTTTGGTTCAGACACGTGAATTCTGGCTAGATCGAAGTTCAGAAAAAGTACTAGAAGTACCCAGGATTTCATAACGGGGAAGTCCGCCTCTGAACTCTCTGAATATAGTTGGACTCGAATGGGTAAATCCTGTCTGAAGTCTGTGAATATGGGTGGATTCATTAGGGCTTACATCCTTGGTTTGACAAGTATGGGCTTGATGATGAGATGTACAGCAGAGTTCCTTTTGGATGGCGTTTCACCACACCCTGCCATAGCGTATGCTTGAATTCTTGCTGGACCCCCGTCTTGCTTTGCTATCAACAATGCAGGAAAGGTCAAGCGATGGTAGCATCCGTCCTCTGCAGCGACCTATCGAATCTAACCTTCTGGCAGAATCGCTGCTTTGTCGCCAGCGTAATCTTCGCAGTGCTCGCGCCATGATAGGATGTGACTTCGGAGGCTTAGGGTGTCGGCGCGAGCACAAGGCGGTGGCGGGATCAGGGCCTTGATTGCCGCCTTTCGCGGCTCGACTCGCCGTCCATGGCATCAGGTTATTGCCCTTCGCAGTCTCCCTGCATTGCATTGCATCCACCTCGCTAAGCCATCCGATCCGTTGCACCCATAGGCCACGTTTTTGCCACCGCGAGCCGACGTTTACCAATCCTGGGAGCTCTATTTAGTTTAAGACGCGGCGCCTTACTCAACAAGTCCTATTCCGTGTCGTAGGCCGGATGTTTTCCGAATATCGAGAATTAATACTCATTGCATCGCCGCCGTTCACCTCCCGCCCTCTTCACGACCGGCGCTGGCAGCGCCCATCGCGCGTCATGCATTTAGTAGCTTCATCAGCTCGCCGCGACGTCAAGCCTTTGAAATATCCATGTGCATTTTCGTCCTGCGTAGCATCCCGCTCGTCCCTCTCGTCCCTCTCGTTCCTCTTGTTCTGCTCATTTTATCCTTCGAATCCTTTCCGTGGTTTGGCCTGGCGTGCGCATCTACCCTCCCCGCCGCCCTGTCTGTTCCCCTTCACCCCGCCATCTTGCCATCCCGCCTGCTATCTGTCATCAACCTTCCTTTTTCCGCCCAATCTGACCGCACCCGCGCATGCCAGGTGGCGGCGGTGGCGGTGGCGGAAGCAGCGGCGGAAGCGGAAGCAACGGGTACATCTTAGCGTACGCGAAGCGCAGTTTGCACCGCGACTACATGGTGCGCGGGAAGGAGTTTGGGCGCGGGCGGTACGGCGTGGTTCGGCCGTGCGTGCACCGCAAGACGGGGCGCGTGCTGGCGTGCAAGTCCATCAGCAAGGCCAATCTCAAGGCACGCCCTCCGCACGCCCTCCGCACGCCCTCCGCACGCCCTCCGCACGCCCTCCGCACGCCCTCCGCGCAACCTCCGCACGACCTCCGCACGCGCTCGCACAAGCACATGCGCACGCGCACTCGCCGCCAGCACCCGCACCCGCACCCGCGTCAGCATCAGCACCCGCAACCACATTTCCAGACGTTGCAACCGAGCCAATCGCTCTGGTGGCATGGCTGGTACTTTACGCAGCCGCACCACCTTCCCCCACCCCGCACAAACAGGCCCGCACCCTCCCTCGTACCCTCCCCCGTACCTCCCTCCCCATCAGCGCACTCCCTCCCCGACCTTCTCCCCCATCCCCCCATTGCACCCCCCCCGCTCTCCCTCTCCCGCGCTCTCCCGCTCCCCCGCTCCCTCGCGCGCGCAGGAGGAGCAGCAGGTGGAGGAGCTGCGGACGGAGATGGCGGTGATGCGCGCGGTGGTGGGGCACGCGCACATAGTGGAGGCGGAGGCGGTGTACGAGGACGACGAGCACGTGCACATGGTCATGGAGCTCTGCCACGGCGGGGACCTCTTCGACCTCCTCGCGCGCTCCGACCACCTCTCCGAGAGCGACGCGCGCCACATGTTCAGGTGCGGAGGGTGGTGGGGTGCGGTGCTGCGCGCGGGGAGTTGCGCGCTGGGTGGTGGGTGCGGGGCGTGCTAGGGTGCTGGGTGCGCTGGCAGCTGCGTGCTGTGCGCTGTGCACCCTAACCCATTCCCTCTCCTGGATGCTGGGTGCTGACGTGCGGCCAAACCGACCCCCTTCCCTCGCCTTACTCCATTCCCCTGCCCCAACCCATTCCCTCTCCCCGTCCCCCCACATCTTCCCCCAAAACTTCCCCATCCCCCCCATCTCCCCCTCATCCACTCCCCCCTGCATCTCCCCGCATCACCCCTCCAGGAAGATAGTGGACGCAGTGGGGTACCCGGTACCATCACGGCAAGACCATTTTCCTTGCCGACTGAGGGGCTGGCTGCCACAGCATGCCCTATTCCTCCCCCCTGCCCCAACCCACTCCCCTTACCTACCTCTCCTCCCTCCCCTCCCATCTCCCCACATCTCCCTCCACATTCCCCCCCATCTCCCCCTCAACCCTCCCCCCGATCTCCCCCTCACCACCCCCCCTCCCACATCTCCCCGTCACCCCCCCCATCTCGTCCCACCCGCCCCCATCTCCCCCCTCCCAGGAAGATAGTGGACGCGGTGGGGTACTGTCACGGCAAGAGCATCGTGCACCGCGACCTCAAGCCCGAGAACATCCTGCTCGCCGACGCCTCCGCGCTCAACCCCAAGCTCGCCGACTTTGGCCTCGCCGTGCACCTGCCCCCGGGCGCGCGCGCCGTGGGGCTGGCGGGGTCGTCGTTCTACATGGCGCCGGAGGTCGTGCAGGGCATGGCCTACTCCTTCCCCGCGGATGTGTGGAGCCTTGGAGTGCTGCTTTACATCATGCTCTCAGGTGGGTGGGTGGGTGGGTGCGCTGCAACAAGGTGAGGTGACTTGTGAGTCGACTCAGAAGTCGTGCAGTGGGGCTGGCTGGCTGGCTGGCTGGCTGGCTGGCTGGCGGGGTCGTTGTTCTACATGGCGCCCGAGGTCGTGCAGGGCATGGCCTACTCCTTCCCCGCGGACGTGTGGAGCTTAGGAGTCTTGCTCTACATCATGCTCTCAGGTGGGCGCTTCCGTTCTCTCAAGCGGTCCTTCATTGATATTTTTTTAGGTACAGGCATGGCAGAGGTGGGTCTAACAAGCAAGCAAACAAACCTAGGCATATAGGCAAGGTAGGCAGTGAACATTCAAGCCTAGAGCCTACACTGGTTTCCTACCCCCAATCTGCAAGTGACCCAGCCGCCCCATTCCAAGGCCCCACCCCAGCCGCCAGCATCCCGTCTCTGGTCTTGTCTTGGCCTAGCCTAGCCCCTGGGCAACCCAGGTCGGCCCTTATCACTCACAGGGCTCTAGGCCGCCCCCCCTTTTACTCCTCCCAGCTCCAGTCTCGGCCCTGGCCGTCCTCCAGGACGTGCCACAGGTCCCCCAACCGAGGCTCCCAAGGGTCGGCAGCAAGGCTCTGTGGGAACGGAACAGCAGCAACAGCAACAGCAACAGCAAGCTGTGGGATGGGATGGGATGCTCTCTTTCCCTCCTACCTCGCACCGCTGTGAAGCTCCCTGCCCTCTCGCTCCATGCCCGCTCGCCTCCCTCCTTGCACGCCTCTCGTCGGCCCAACCCCCTCTAGTCCCCCATTCTGCTTCCCCCCTGGCCAGGCAACCCACCCTTCTCTCGACACGTCTTACACCTTTCCTCTGCACAACCCCCCGTCCCTCCTCTGCTTCCCCTCCCTGGCCAGGCATCATACCCTTCTTTTGAGACATCTCAACAACACTCTCCCCTGCCCACCCCCGCGTTCCCCCCTGTCCCCCCTCCCTGGCCAGGCATCCTACCCTTCTGGGGCGAGACGGTTGAGGAGACGTATGAGAGCGTGTGCCAGGGGTACCTGGACTTCACGTCACGGCAGTGGCAGCTCATCTCGCCAGCAGCCAAGGACCTCATACAGCGCATGTGCTCCCTAGACCCCCAGCACCGTCCCTCCCTGCACCACGTCCTCTCCCACCGCTGGCTTGCTGCCGCTGCTGCTGTTTCGACTGCCGGTGGTGGCGGTGGTGCTTCGTCGTCCTCCTCCTCCTCCGCCTCCTTCTCATCCTCCTCGCTCTCCCCTGCTCCCTGCAAGCTCGCTCTTGCCCGCGCCGGCTCGCTTTTCTCTCCCTCCGTCTCTGCTGCTGCTGCCGCCGCCGCCGCTGCTGCCCTTGCTGACTCTGCTGGTGATGGGTTTGACGCGGACGGGGCGGTGGGTGTAGCGGCAGCAGCAGGCGCTGCTGCTACAGCCACAGCTGGTGCCGCTGATGCGGCTGCTGCTGGTGGTGGCGGCGGTGCCGGTGGTGCTGATGGTGGTGCTGTTGGTGGAGGTTCAAGCGCAAGCAAGTATAGGAGAGCGCAGCCGCGGGGAGAGATGGCATTGAAAAGGCGGGTGCTGCCTCTGCGGTCGAAGAGCGGAATTGACAGTGCTCTCATGTCTGCCGCCTGGAGAGGGCCTGATAGGGATGATATTGGTGGCGGTGCTGATATGCATGCAGAGGAGGGGAAGGCGGAGGATCGGGAGGGTGAGCGGGAGGACGGGGATGATTGGGCGGAGGAAGGGGAGGACGCGGCGGGTGAGGGGGGGATGAGTGCGGATGGGGAAGGGCGTGGTAGGGGAAGGGATGGTGCGTGGGGTGGGGGGGCGGTAGAGGGTGAGGATGGGGGGGAGGATGATGGGATGGAGGATGCGGATGAGAGGACGGGTAGTGGGAGGAGGAGGAGGGTGGGCGGGAGGAGAGGAGTGGCAGGTGGAAGCCGAGCGGGGCGGGCGAGAGGGGTCAGTGGCACCGGCGGTGGTGGTTTAACCGCAGGAGCAGCAGCAGCTGCTGCAGCAGCAGCAGCAGCAGCAACGTCGACAGGTGGTCGCAGCAATGCTGTTGCCGCTGATACTGGACCGGTGGTGCATGCACATGCACCTCACGTCTCCCCACGTGGAACCAGTACCGCTGCCTCTTCTGCTTCTTCTTCTGCTGCTGCGGCTGCGTTGAATGCGGGGCCGATGGAGGCTCGAGCAGGCAGTGCAGCAGTGTTGGCAGCAGAAGCAGAGGGCCTAGGCTGTGGCACACCCAGGTCGGGGGGACGATCAGGCAGAGGGGGATTGGGTGCTGTGGACATGGCTGGGGAGAGGGCCGGGGTTGACAGGAGTGGAAGGGAAACCAGGAGTGGGGATGTTGAGGCAAGCGCGAGCACAGGGGTGGCAGCAGCTGGTGCAGCTGGTGCTGCTGATGGTGCTGGTGCTGCTGCTGGTGGTGGTGTTGTTGGGGTTTGGAGTCGGGGGGATGAGAGAAGCAGGGAGGCAGCAGGTGCTGACGCTCGGGCTGGCACTCGGGGCAGTGTTAGTGAGGAGAGACGAGGCAGCTCCAGCAGTGCTGCTTCTCCTGACTCTGCACCACCCAACGCATCAGCAACAGCAGCAGCACCTCCAACAGCAGCAGCAGCAGCAGCGGCAGCAACAGGGGCGGCAGGCTCACCACAGGACAGTGCAGCAGCAGCAGGGGATGCAGAGCAGGACGAAGGCGGGTCGTCCTCCTCGTCCTCGTCACAGCCGCGCCGGCGCCCCACATACCAGCACATCAGCAGCATCGGGTCGTCTCGAGCAGGCAGGCGCGTGTGTGCGCCCGTGCAGCGGCCACGCACAGCCGAGACGAGACCTGGAGGGGGAGGAGTGGGGGGAGTGGGTAGGCGGGGAGGGAGCGCGCTTGCTAGTGGCATTGGGGGGTCGTATCTGGGGAGCTCTCCGCTCTCCCCCTGCTCTGTGCGCTCGCCTGGGCAGCCGGGCGGGGGTGCGGCTGCTAGGCTTGTTTCGCCGCCGAGAAGACCGGTTTCGAGATATGCTGCTGGTTCTGGTTCTGCTGCTGGTACTGCTGCTGGTTCTGCTGCCTCTGCGTCTGCCTCTGCTTCTGGATCTGCTGCTGCTGCTTCTGTTGCTGCTGCTGGAGAGGCAGAGGGTTCAGGAGAGGGAGGCGAGGTGCTTGGGGGAGTGGGTGGTGGTGGGAGCAGAGAGGAAGGCAGGTACGGTGGGGCTGGTGACTTGGGGCAGAGGGAGAGAGACAGCGGGGCTGGGAGCTTGGAGGAGGGCAGAGGGCAGGGGCAGCAAAGACATTCCAGTGAAAGGATAGCGATTGGAAAGGGGCAGCACGGAGGAGGGGTTCATGCAGGGGGGACACTTGGGGGGGGCGCGCATGGGGGGGGGGACGCATGTGGGGGGGACGCACAGGATGGAGGAGGAGCGTGTGGGTGGAAGAGGGGGGCGGATAGGTGGGGGAGGGGCGGCAGGTGGGGGGAGAGGGTATGTTGGGGGAGGGGTTGGGGGAGGGGGGATGCATACAGGAGGAGGGGAAAGAGTAGGTCCGTCTCTGTCTTCTTCAATGAACCCTCTAAGAAGGGCTAGTAGTGGGGTAGTCGGTGGGTTAAGTGGTGGGGTGACTGTCACCGGTGGGGCGAGTGCAGGGGGTGGTGTGGTGCTTGGGGTGTCCGGGGTTGGGGGTGGGAGAGGTGGCAAGGCAGGGGGGCGGATGGGTGGCAGGGGCAGAGGGATGGTAGGGGGAGGAGGAGGAGGGGTGGATGGGAGGGGTTTACTGGAACGAGAGAGGGCTGGAGAGGAAGGGCGGCTGGAAGAGAGACGGCACGGGATCGTGGAAAGTGGTGGTGGTGCTGCTGCTGCTGCTGCTGCTGTTGCTGCTGCTGTAACCAGCAGCAGCATCAGCAGCAGCAGTGTGGGCAGCGGTGCAATGGGCAGCACGAGTACTATTGCGGGACAGCGAAGCAGAGGGGGCCCTTCTTTGGGCATTGCAGCAGGGGCAGGTGGGCAGGGCAACCCTAGGGGCGGCATGGTGGAAGCTAGGCGGGTGGGTACAGGTGCTGGTGCTGGTGCCAGTGCTGCTGTTGCTACTGCCGGGGTAGGTGTTGGCACAGGGAGAGCGTCAGTTTTGTCCTGCTCGGGTGATGCTGGCGCTGCTGAAAGCGGTTCCTCTGCTGCTGCCGCTGCTGCTGATGGTGCTGCCAGTGGGGGATTACGAAGTGGTGGCAGCAGCAGCAGCAGTAGTGGAGACGTGCTGGGTGGTGGCAGGGATGGGACGTTACGAGAGAGCGGCACTGGCAGAGACATGTGCAGTAGGGGCAACAGCGGTAGCACCAGTAGCAGTCGCAACAGCAGTAGCAGCAGCAGGGTTGGCAGTGGCAGCGGCAATTTTAGCAGCAGCGGCAGCGGTGGCAGCGGCAGGAGCATAGCAGGAAGGAATTCCATAACAACAAATAGTGATGCTGCCGCTGCTTCCGGTGCTTCTGGTGCAACCGGTGCTGCTGGTGCTGCTGGTGCTGCTGTTGAGGGCGGTGCTGCCATGTTTGACAATGCTGGCGTGAACCTAGGTGAAGGTGTGTCACGCTCTCCTCCCTCCGGCGATCAGCACAACATCACAGATGCTGCTGGAGGAGCGGTGGGGAGAGGAGGACAAGGAGGGGCGGTTCTTGAGATGTCTCAAAAGTCGCGCTATCCTCCCTCTGGCGATCAGCACAGCTTCACAGATGGTGCTGGAGGAGCGGTGGGGAGAGGAGGACAAGGAGGGGCGGGAGGGGGGCAAGGAGGGGGGCAAGGGGTAGGGTGCCCAGCTTCACCCAAGCTCTTATCCCCTCGCCGAACCTTCCCCTCTCCTTCCTCCCACCAACACCAACACCATCACCAACACCAACAACAGCACCATTACCAGCAGCAGCAGCAGCAGCAGCAGCAGCAGCAGCAGCAGCATCAGCAGCAGCAACACCAGCAGCAGCAACACCAACAGCAGCAGCAGCAGCAGCAGCAGCAGCAGCTGATCTCAGCAACCGTTTCCTCCCCATGGGCTGCCTCTGCGCATCTCACACCAGTCACAGAGCAAGACTCAGACTCAGTCATGAGCGCCCAAACGAGCTCGCAAGCAGCAGAGCTAGCAGCGGCGACAGCACGGCTGCAGAGGGCTAATCAAGCCAACCGCGGAGCCCCCTTCCGCCGCCAGAGCTCCGCTTCCCCCAGGGACTCGCGCTGGGCGGTTGGGGTAGGGCTGGGCGGAGCAGCAGGTCCCGTGTCCAGGTTTGGGGCTAGGCTGAGCTGGGAGGGGCCGAGTGAAGGGAAAGCGTGCGGGGCTGATAGGGGCTTTGGTGGTGGGGAAGGGGGAGCGGTTGGAGGGTGGATCGATGGGTTGAGTGGGTTTGGAAGAGGTGGGAATGTGGAGGCGAAGGGGCGATTGATGGGTGGGGGTGTTTCCGGTGGTGGGGGTGCTGGTGGTGGGATGAGAGGCAGTGTAGGTGCTAGCAAAGCTGCTAATTCAAATGCTGGCTTCGCAGTACCTTTGGGAGCAGCAGCAGGGGCTTCAGGGGCAGCAGCAGGAGGGACAGCAGCAGCAGCCGCAGCAGCAGTGAACGGTTTGCCTAATGCTGACTCAGACGGCGAACCTGAACACACGTACAGATCGCAAGCAACCGCAGCCGCAGCCGCAGGCGCAGCTGGTGCGTATGGAAGCTCCCCTCCCCCGCACTCCCCATCCCACCACTCCCCTTTCTCACTCCGCCACAGCCGGTCACGCTCGTTTGAACTCGAAAATGCGCTCACGAGCCCAACCAACCTGACAAGCCCCACCAACCGCTCCAGTTTCACCAGTCCCACTAGTCCCACCAGCCGCACCCTCTCCTCTGCCCTCTCCTCCGCCTCCTCCTCTGCCCCCCGCCCACCCTCGATACCCCGTCGCCTCTCCTCCTCCCAGGCTCGCCCGCGGGGAAAGCAGCAGGGGGGCAGTAGCGATGGTGCTATTGCGGTGTGGGGGGGCGGGGAGAAGTGGGGCAGGGAGCGGCGAGGGGAGAGAGCAGAGGGGGCGGGGAGCGGGGAGGATGGGAGCATCGAGGGAGACCAAGGGGAATGAGAATGGGAGGTGAAAAGGGGTGGGAAGAAGGAGAGGGGGAGGAGAGGAGGGGGCATGTGCTGAGAAATGAGATCAAAACATGAGGTGGCTTTTGAGGCGCCTCAAAAGTTGAGGCGACTTTTGAGGCGCCTCAAAAGGGAGGAGAGGAGGGGGCATGTGCTGAGAAATGAGTTCAAAGCATGAGGTGGCTTGAATATTTGGTCGTGGGATGATGTAGCGGTTGGAGTGATCGCATGCTTTGTGCGTGCATGGCATGAGATGAGAAGCACCCATGGTGTTGGGGGGAATGGGTCGGTGTGAGTGTTGCTCACTAGGATGGAAGATGGAGGAGAAGAGGGAGCAGAGGGCGAGGTGGGAAAAGAGGGAGAGGTGGGAGAAGGGTGACTGACTGAAGCACCCTGCATTCTAAGTCATCAGTGCTGCTGCAATCAGCATTCTTTTTCTCTCTCACGCTCTCTCCCTCCCTCCCGCTTTATCGTGCTTCCTCCCTGCTGCATTGCTTGTTGGAATGGTTGCAACTTGCATATCAAGTCGGCTTCATCTGCTCCCACCCAGCACACCCCGCCCTGTGCCACACCGCTTGTGTGTGTGCGTGAGGTGTGAGCGAGGAGATGCCAAAGTTGGAACGTAACTGCTGCATGCTGTGTGGTTTGCTAGTAGTGATACTGCCGGTAGGTTATTAGCTATCCTGCAATACACAGCTGGCTGGATAGCTTTCGCCACGGACGGGCCGTAGACCCTAGAGAGAGGAAGAGAGAGCAGCATTCGCCCATACCGGTCTTAGTCAGTGTCATCTGATTTGATTCTCATCAAAAGAGCAGCAGTTGGGTTCCCTTCCCACACTTTACCATGGTTCCATGTGCTTCTAGTACTCTGCACACCAGTGCATATGCTTCAGTTGCTGTCTCTGACCCTTTTTGCTGCATAAGTGACTGCAACCAGGTGCATGCATGTGGCCTGTCCAGAAAAGGATTCCCTGCACAGATCCATGCATCCATGCATGCAGGCTCTCTGGTTGGTTGTGACGCGAACCATTTCCATGTTGCTTCACGAATCACCATGTACTGGAATTACTACACAAACGGTTAGGCAGACATCATCTTTCAAAAAAAACACTCACTAGCAAAATGCCTCTTGCCCACACAGCACATTTGTTGTGGTACCGGTAATGCAGCTTACCCTACACACACATCTTCTATTGTGGTACGGTACGGTACGGCCCATGCGATGCGAGTACCACACAGCATGGACAATCGGTACGTTACCACAAGCACGGCGGCAAGGCATGGACAGAGCTCCGAACCAAAACAACATTCGAAGCGCCGCTACAACACAGCAGCACCACTGGATGGATAGCTGGATGGATGGATGGATGGATGGATGCATCTACGATACCGTATTCTCCCGGATATAAGACCCGGGGGACTTTCCTAAAATAGAGGCAAAATGACTAGGGTGAACATTTAATTGGCACGAGCTGTAAGAGTCCCGGGTACACTTATTAATCAAGTACACTTATGCGATTTAGGGGTGTACACCGGGGTCTTATGTTCGAACCGAAAAATCTCGCATGCGCGAAATTCGCGCGAGCGGCGCGTCAGAAACGTCAGATCTCGTGTCCGACACGATTGGTGTGTCAGAACCCGATTCTGACACAAATGACGCGTCAAATTTCGGATTGTGCCTCTAAAAGCTGACGCGCATATTTATATTTAACTACTGTATACAGAAAAGGGGGGTCTTAAAATGTTTTGTAGCAAAAGGGGGGTCCTCTCACATGTGCTACATATTAAGAGTCCCAGTACCGTTCAAAAGTCCCGGGGGTCTTTTTTTCGGGAGGGTCCTATATCCGGGAGAATACGGTATCTACAGATACACACTCCACAAACAGCCAGGTCAAGTGCCAGTTGCCAGGCATCAGCCAGGTGGCCAGGTGGCCAGGCAGGTTAGTCCCAGGAGAGGTCTTCCTTGGGAGGGCCGTCAAGCACCTGGGTGCCGGGGCGGAAGGGCTTTTCCAGCACGCAGTTGAGGTACACGTGCTCGCCCTCCCTCTCGCCCACGTCGTTCTTGGGCGAGTAGTTCCAGTAGCGCTTGCTGTAGCCCAGCAGCTCTATCAGCGCCACGTACGCCGGCATCTCCTCCTTGGGCGCGTAAAACATCTCCAGCCACAGCAGCCCGCCTGGTGGGGAGGGGCGTGGGAGAGTGAAGGGAGCGGAAAGTGGGGGGGGAGGGAGAGCAGTGAGAGGAGGGAGAGGAGGGGGAGGAGGGGGAGGAGGGAGAGGGAGAGGAGGGAGAGGAGGGAGAGGAGGGAGAGGAGGGAGACGAGTCCCGGGGGGGATGGAGGTGAGAGGGCGAGAGGGAGAGGAGGGTTGTATTGGCAGCAGAGGAGCAGAGCAGCAGAGAAGCAGAGCAGCAGGGCAGCAAGCAGCACAAGAGCAAGAGCAAGAGCAAAACCAAGGGCATGAGCAAGGGCAAGAGCAAGAGCAGGAGCAGGAGCAGGAGCAGGAACAAGAGCAAGAGCAAAAGCAAGAGCAAGAGAAGGAGCATGAGCAAGAGCAAGAGCAAGAGCAAAAGCAGGAGCAGGAGCAGGAGCAAGAGCAAGAGCAAGAGCAAGAGCAGGAGCATGAGTAAGAGCAAGAGCAAGAGCAAGAGCAAGAGCAAGAGCAGGAGCACGAGTAAGAGCAAGAGCAAGAGCAAGAGCAAGAACAGGAGCATGAGTAAGAGCAAGAGCAAGAGCAAGAGCAAGAGCAAGAGCAGGAGCAAGAGCAGGAGCAGGAGCAGGAGCAAGAGCAAGAGCAGGAGCAAGAGCAAGAGCAAGAGCAAGAGCAAGAGCAAGAGCAAGAGCAGGAGCAGGAGCAGGAGCAAGAGCAGGAGCAGGAGCAGGAGCAAGAGCAAGAGCAAGAGCAGGAGCAGGAGCAGGAGCAGGAGCAAGAGCAGGAGCAGGAGCAGGAGCAGGAGCAAGAGCAGGAGCAAGAGCAAGAGCAAGAGCAGGAGCATGACCAAGAGCAAGAGCAAGAGCAAGAGCAAGAGCAGGAGCAAGAGCACGAGCAAGAGCAAGAGCAGGAGCAAGAGCAAGAGCAAGAGCAGGAGCATGAGCAAGAGCAAGAGCAAGAGCAGGAGCAAGAGCAAGAGCAAGAGCAAGAGCAAGAGCAGAAGCATGAGCAAGAGCAAGAGCAAGAGCAAGAGCATGAGTAAGAGCAAGAGCAAGAGCAAGAGCAAGAGCAGGAGCAAGAGCAGGAGCAGGAGCAAGAGCAAGAGCAAGAGCAAGAGCAAGGGCAAGAGCAAGAGCAAGAGCAAGAGCAAGAGCAAGAGCAGGAGCATGAGTAAGAGCAAGAGCAAGAGCAAGAGCAAGAGCAAGAGCAAGGGCAAGAGCAAGAGCAAGAGCAAGAGCAAGAGCAGGAGCAAGAGCAGGAGCAAGAGCAAGAGCAAGAGCAGGAGCAAGAGCAAGAGCAAGAGCAAGAGCAAGAGTATGAGTCAGAGCAAGAGCAAGAGCAAGAGCAGGAGCAGGAGCAGGAGCAGGAGCAAGAGCAAGAGCAAGAGCAGGAGCAGGAGCAAGGGCAAGAGCAAGAGCAAGAGCAAGAGCAGGAGCATGAGTAAGAGCAAGAGCAAGAGCAAGAGCAAGAGTAGGAGCAAGAGCAGGAGCAGGAGTAGGAGCAAGAGCAAGAGCAGGAGCAAGAGCAGGAGCAGGAGCAGGAGCAAGAGCAGGAGCAGGAGCAGGAGCAAGCAGGAGCAAGCAGGAGCAAGAGCAGGAGCATGAGCAAGAGCAAGAGCAAGAGCAAGAGCAGGAGCAGGAGCAGGAGCAGGAGCAAGAGCAAGAGCAAGAGCAGGAGCAAGAGCAGGAGCAGGAGCAAGAGCAGGAGCAGGAGCAGGAGCAAGAGCAAGAGCAAGAGCAAGAGCAGGAGCAGGAGCAGGAGCAGGAGCAAGAGCAGGAGCAGGAGCAGGAGCAGGAGCAAGAGCAAGAGCAGGAGCATGAGCAAGAGCAAGAGCAAGAGCAAGAGCAGAAGCAAGAGCAAGAGCAAGAGCAAGAGCAAGAGCAGGAGTATGAGCAAGAGCAGGAGCAAGAGCAAGAGCAGGACGGACCTCCTCTGAGCACGCGGTCCCACTCGAAGAGCATCTCCTCGAACTCGAGCATGGGCAGGTACTTGACGCTGTTCACCGTGTGCACTATGTCCAACGTCCCATCGTACAGCGGCAACCGCGCCTGCGCACATTGGGGAGGGGGGAGCGGGGTGGGGGGGGGACAGGGAGGGGGGGGGGGGGGGGGCGGGGGAGATGGGATGGCGGCGACAACCTACCGGTACGTGCACTTGCTGCTGTTCAGTTCACCGTGTGCACTATGTCCAACATCGCATCGTACAGCGGCAACCGCGCCTGCGCACATGCGGGTTAGAGGAGGAATTGGTAAGGGTAGGGAGATGGGATGAGAGGCGTGCATGTGTGTTTGACCAGTTGCTGTTGTTAAGTTTGCCATACGTGTGCCTTCAGACATAGCGTGGCAAGCTGGGCATTGGAACATAACACACAAGTCAAGGCATTGAAACCTGACAGGAGCAGCTAACCTGCACAGCTGCACTCCAAGGAGGGGAGGAGCCATCATAGCCCCCCAAACCCCCACCATCCCCATAATCCCCCCCATCTTTGCCGCGAGTGTTATTTGGGAATGATTAGAAACCGCACATGCACAGCACGGCGTGCACCTTGTGCAGCGAGTGCAGGGGGGATGGGGCCCCTCAATGCGATGGCCACACCACAACTCCCCCCCTCCCCTCTCCCTGCGCCAAACCACATCCACAAAGATCCACACCCCATGCACAGCACAGCACAGCACACCACAGCACACCACACCACACCACACCACTGCCCACGCACCTTGTGCGGC